AAGAGACAATATATAGAAATCTCGGGAACTGAACCTAGGACGCTTCAAGACGTAAATACAAATCAGCTGTTTTCACATGAAGTTAACACTTCGTTCTATCGTTACTTGATAAAATCTATCTTTTATATTTGTATTTACACATCGAACTGGAAGTTTGATTTATTTGTATTAACGTTATTCATGAATTTTGTGGAATGATTTCGGGCAGAATAAGAATAAGTGTTCTTTCTTAAAAAAATCCTAACAATTTAAATGTTTAAAATATGATATATTGATATATGATGTAAACTTAAATATATATAGATATATACATATATCAGTCTAAAAAAATTAAGTCAGCCATTGCTCCGTTGACGGATTGTCAGTTAAGAAGACTGTGGATTCCTTAAGGAATTTCATGTTACAAAAAATATCACGAAACCAGTTTGCTCTTAATAGCCTGGGTCCTTAACCTTTTAGCAAAGACAATGATTTAAACTGCAGTGTCGAGCTCATGAGATAAGCCCGCACACTTTTCAACATGCTGCACGCAACGCGAATATAAATCCTCAAAGCTAGTAGCTAGCTATGATTTTCCATGCCATGACTGTGTAACATATTTTGTCTAGCTACTAGCTAATTTTTCTTGTACAGCTGCTAGGAGAAGTGAGCGTTACATAACTAGCTAGTAACTAGCCGGAAATACTAGACGGCAATTATCTAAGACACAATTTTTCTATCTAATGGTTAACTAGCCATGAGATTCAATTTCTGCTCGGAAAGAGGGGAATATTCCAACAGAAATTGCGTGTGCTAATTGTAAGGAATTATATACGGAAGATATTAAGAGGTGTTACCGACACTTTTTATTGTTAACATCAAAGTTCAAGTTAAACTGATGATATATCTGCTACTTTATTATATTTGCTTTATTTTATGTAAAATAGTTATAAAATTTTTTAGATGGAGAATCTATGTAATAAAATAATTTAAATAATGTTACAATTCACATTGTGATTATATGTATTATATTTAGAACCCCATTTATCCATTGTATTTCAAAATTCAATCCGAATTTAATTCAATTCGAAATTTTAATCCGAATTTTTATAATACTGCCAAATTAAAGTTTATTTTTAGAATATAGCACTTTTTCGTATTAAGTCTTCTTGACAATTTTTCGATTTTCTATACATTAAGTATTTTAAAAATAATTTAAAATTTTGTGGAAGTTGAAATGTACCTATACCATCTTTTTGTCTTCTGAATTCGCGGAAAGGCTTCTAATTACTCTGCATAAAGGAGAAAAAAACTCTGTGTCAGTAACTGAGACTGACATCTCAAATAGTAGCGGTCGAAATAACAAACAACACTCAATTATGTCTTCTCCACACATTTTTGTTTTTTTTTCTTTTCTACTTTATATAAAAATTGTTATAATTCATATTACGTTTATTATATCATATGTATACAAGCATTGGAAGTATTTTAAAACGAACGGATCTTACGATAATCAAGCACTTTCTCCAGTAATAAAATTCGTCTCTGATGGCGTCTTTGAAGCAAATTCCTATCGTATATTAGCACATTAATTTGTCGCGCCGACTCTCCGATTCTACAGATGTCAATAAATTCCGATATATTTCCGGCATTTAGTTACTTAGGATGAATTAATACAAGCACCAAAAATATTTGCATAATTTGGGATTGACTTAATATGTCTGCTCGTTTCACTTGCACTTTCTTCCCACTCGCTTCGGAACATTATTCTTTATTTAACATACTGTATATGCATTACCCTAATTTATTCTGAACCGAAATTTTAATAAAATATTTATTTTCAAAAAACAACGTTAGGGAAAAGCGGTAATTGTTTAAATTTTTGTTAAAAAAATAGATTCTAAATTTGTTAAAGTATGATTTTTAAATAAAATATTTCAAAAAAAGAAAAAGGAAATTATATCAATTCTCAATATTACAACATTATATTAATAAATTGCTTAAACTTTTACAAATAAAATTATAGAGCTAAATTAGACTATATTATCGAAAAACAACATTAATACTGGAAGTTCTTAAGTTCTTCAAATAAAATTAAAGGTATTTAAAATATTAAAGGTATTTAAAAAATTAAAAATATTTGATATCTAAACTAAAGTAATAATTTTTAAAGAATTTATAAATTGAACAAATCGAAATTAATTATGCATTACGATGTTTCATAAGATATTTCATGTAAGCATATTCTGCATTTTATTTTAAAAGTCTATGGTTAAAATTCATTTTAAATGATAATCTGATCAGAGACGATTACATGTTACATGTTTCCACGATATCATTATTATATGCAATATTTCATCTTCTCTGCTTAGTGAAATCTACTTGTTTCCCGATATATGTACCAATGATCGAAAAATATATTGGAGAATATTAAATGACATTGTTTAACTTACGTCTGAATTTCTGGAATGAGCGTGCAAACAAATTTTCTCATTTGTTATTGCCTTGCCTACGGTTCTATTCGAGTGGCTTTTACAGATATTGAAGTATCTCATAAAGAAGAAGAAAAAGGAAATTATATCAATCCTCAAAATTATAACATTATATTAATAAATTATTTAATATATATAACACACTTTTACAAATAGAATTAAAGTCAAATTAAAATCCATATTATTGAAAAATAACATTAATACTAGAAGTTCTTAAATTCTTCGAATAAGATTAAAAATATCCAAAATTAATAATTTTACAAAAATTCTTGAGTCCAACGAATCGAAATTAACTACATAATACAAAATAATCTAATTTAATGTAATAGCTTATATCTTTGTATGTTCCAGATCATGAATCTAATCCCATTCTAATCTAAAATAATGTACTTATCGCAAGTTTACGTCTTCAGCCACTCCAAAAAAGTTACCTTTAAATTCTACATATCTGTAACAGTAAAGCAAGCAGGAAACGAGTACACTCTAAAACGACATATAAATATTCATATCAATCCGCTGACGTCTTGAGGAACTGCCTTACGCCAACGGCATGTGAAACGCATAGATGCCATTGAAATGCAACAAGCATGCTTGAAGAGCATTTTTTGTGTCAAATCTCAATGTCACGTCTTTCTCATATCATATACCTGCCATATAAGATATCCCATATTTAACAAGGTTTACGTTTGGCCTTTTAAAGATTCTTTCGTTAATGAAAATTGTCTTTCTTCTAACAAAAGCTTTGAAAGCGTTTCAAGATCTTGAAATTATTAATTGAAGAGGGAATTTAATTCAAAATACATTTCAGAAATATAAACAGACGATAAATCCTTATCTTTTTCAATTTCCAAGTAGGCGCGAATACATTGCCTATTCTGTTTTGTCAAGGAGTGTTCAACCTCTTTTTTTTAAAAACTCTTTTTCAGAAATAATTTCATATAATTCAAAAAGTGCGGGAAATAATAGAACAATTTTTTAATAGAAAGATTTGATGCTTTCAAATCAGGAACATTCTACACATTTGGCAGACACTGATATAATTTACAAATATGCTAGAAGGTAAACTACAACACAAATCATTCTGCAATCAGAAACTTTATGCAACATAGACAAAGTTAGTTTTCTAAACAGATTGTTTCTCAAAAAAGACATCATACATATAACAAGACATGTCATGTAATAAGAAATATCTACAATTTTGTTCAGTATAAACATGACTCTTTGTTATATTATCATCACTAAAGTTAAATTTAAACTCATTGTCACAGTTCTTTTTATATAAATCTTTTTACAATTTATTAAAAACTTATGAGATATTTTTATTAAATTGTATTTAGGTTTAAATAAACATCTACGCATAATATTACATACATATAATTACATATATATATACATATTGCACCCGTAAAATTATATATTAATATATATTTATATAATATTATAAACGTAATTGGTCTTTTTACAATACAAATAATAATTTAAAACTAAGAAATTTATAAAATTTAAATTAAAATACGTTAAAATTTATCTGTGCATTATTATTTAAATTTTAATCTATTCTTTATATATCGTGTTTCTCGAGCAAGAATGAAAGTAACCCCCTTGAGTATTGCAATCTATTGCTTCATTAACAATGACAAAGCACATTAAACTTCTATAGGGAAGTTATTTCTAATAAATAAACCTCATAAAAGTCAATAGTGTTACAACAATGACACGAAAGACATTGAAAGTGTTCTTCGAATCCAATTAAACGCCACGATCCGTAATATTTAATTGATTCTTATTAATCATCTTGACATTTGTTAAGAATTCGCGCCATCGTCGTTAACCATATATGACGAACTTACTCGAATTAATCGAGATTAATTCATCTGGTTGTTCAGTAAGTGTGGGAGCCATAAACTGAAGAAACCTAAGTGCACTTGCGTAAGAGCGCACCTGAACTACATTTTGAGCAGGTTATTCTTAATCGAGGTCTGTACGTCATTTGTTCAAGAGAGACTAAAGGGTACGTAATAATTGAAACATTCCACTACAAATGGTATCGAATATCGATATTAATTCAATCCTTTATGCGGTAGAAATACAGTTAAGATTAAAAAATTATTCTGAGTAAAGACCAAATTAACAACAATAATCAAGGATAATTAAATATAAGAATAACAATAAAGTGATAAAATAACAAAAGACTTTAATAAACAAGACTTTATAACTAATGTCTTTTCTAAAGTAAACAATTCAAAATGCTTGTAAAAATCATCGAAATAAAAATATAACGATAAAATTGACACTTAAGTAACATGTTAAATTAATTAACAATGATTTGACAAAATTACATTCTGCATAAAAAAAAGAGAAGAGAAAGAGGAGATGAAAGAAAGTACAGGAGTGAATCTCGAGAAATTGAAATGAGAAGAATAGATAAAAGAGAAGATAGAGCGAGCATGAGACCAGTTGGGGGATCGGCGATCCCCACCCTGTATAAAAGTCTTTTTCTGCCAGCGACGTGTTCAGTTCGAACGACGCGCTGCGTGCGATTATCTCTGGGGATCATCCTCGTCATTATAGAGAGGCTGCGCGAACAATGCCCTGCTGAAAAAGGATTCTGGTCAAGATGCTGCGGCGTGCAACTGCAGCCCTCTTCATCTTGGTACGTCGTCTTTAGTACATCTTTATATATAAAACTTTAGAAATTAGAAACTTATTTAATTATATATATTTACTTTTCTTACACTTACTAAATTGACAAAAAAAACTGAATAAATAAATATTTTTTTCTTCTTAAAATAACAACTAATTATTTCATAAAATTAAGATATTTAATGATTTTGTCAAAATAATTAAGTGATAATAGTAAAAATATGTTTTAAATTAATTAATTTTAATATTTAAAAAGTAAATTTTAAGATAAAATGTTTTTGCAAAAGAGAGATTATATATATATATATATAAACATATGACATTTTCAGTCAGTAATTTAAATTTCACTACCTAAAATCTATTAGAAATCCGATCCAAGATATATTAACATAATATATTCTCACATATTAATGTCTTATAGATATTCGACACATTTCACAACCTGTTGCGTATATTACCACGCATATATTTAATTTAAATATATAATAAATTGTGTATCTATTGATACGAAATACATTTTTGATTGTTTACATATTTTTCTTATTTACTTTTTAATTATTAAGATATTTTAATACGTTTGCCAGGGTTTGTTGGTATGAGAAATAAGTTAGCATTGCGTTCCGTTTATGTATTTATGACAAAAGAAACAGTGGAAAAATTATTGCAGGATATCTTTTTTTAAGTATAAATATTTTTTTCAAGTATTATATAATAAAAAAAAGAGAAATTTGATTTAAAACGAGAATTTAAATAAATTTTTAAATATTTGAAAATTTCGTATACAAGTTTTTCAGTTTTAGCTAATCACAATCTAAGTGACATATTATTAATTAAAAAAAAAGTTCCTTTTACTATATTATTTTGAGTAACGATAGTATTTTTTTATAATAAAATGATTGGAAGCAAGTATATGTAGAAAGGGGTATATTAGCTCAAATCTTATTTATGGCGGCAAGCTTAATTTACTATATCGTGCGTGTAAGAAATGTATAAATATTCAATTACAATTTAACTTTGATAAAACCATTTTATATTTAACATTTTATATTAAAGCAAGCTACAATACATATTTGTTTTTCTGCAATAGCAGTTTGCTATTGATTATACAAAATAATTTTAAAAGATATTTTTAAAAGATAATAAAAAAAAATTTTTATCAGAAAATATTATATCTCTCTTTATGGTTTTTTATTACATTTTTATTAATTTAATATAAAATTTACTGTATAAGAAACTTACATCGTAAGTTTTTTTTTCGTGATACTAAAATTGTGAAAACTGTGCCACCAAGCTCCGATACATCCCCTACTATTAATAAAAAAAATGAATAGGAGGGTAAAAAATATATTAATTTAAATATAAATATAAAAAAACATACTTAAACATAAATATAAAGAGATGCATATAAATGCAGTTCGTTGCTGTCATTTATTATTAGTATATTACTATTAATTACGAATCAATACTATTACGTAGTATATTATTTATGTAATAATAGTACGTAGTAGAAAGTGACACTGATTACTTATATATATGTATAGTAATAGTTGCGTCCGTCGTGACTCGTTATCTAATCGAGATTTCCATTCATATTGACACTCATTCAAGTGAGAATGTCGTTGCACTACATTTTCATTCATAATTTATTTCAATGCCGTGGCATTGCAATAACATCATATAACATATTGTATATAATTTCGATCATCTCAAATTTGCAATTTCTCCATTAAATTAACAATTCCTTTCCTGAAAAAAATTTTAAATTTCCAATTTCTTTCCTTTTTTAAAACTTTCATCTATTTTAATTTGAAATATTTTTCCTAAAATATTAACAGTTAAAATATTGTAATATTAAATAGTTTAATCTATGCGTGCATATGCATATTCCCACCTACGCGCAAGTAGTAGGTGTTAAACTTAATTCCTGCCGTTTTTCGTCTCCAAAATTGATTTATTTCGAAGGGAAATACCTTAATCAAAATATTATTAATTATTATTAATTAGTAATAAAGTAGAAAATGGAGGAAATTACTTTGATTAAGGTATTCATTCATCTTCCCTTCGATACAAATCAATTTTGGAGACGAAAAACGGCAGGAATTAAGTTTAATATCTAATATATGGTATGATTTTTTACATTCAATAATTAATTCATTTTACAAATCTATTTCTAATAATGCACTTAAAATATTTGTTGTACTTTCTTTATTTAAGTAATCAAAATTATATAATTTTTTATTGTATATTGTAAATATGATTAATTTTCGTAAGTAGCATCAACAAATCCTTGTTTCTTGTTTAATTAAAATAGATTCTATTTAAACAAAATTTTTAAATATATAACGAAATATCTATTAAAAATTAAAAAAATAGTTTAGATAGAGGAATACATAAACAAAATTAATATGTTTTAGCTAAAATCCTACATTACCTTAATGATTCTAGATAACAATTTCTTTATTTCTTTCACCAATCACAAGATATACTTTTATGGAAAAGTTTATTATTAAAAGAAGATCACTTCTTTCTAAGAACCATCGTGATTCATGTATACAATTGTCGCAACAAGATGTGTCATTCACATATGTGCGATGTGCGGAATGAAGTTTTGCCTTAAACGTGCACACGTGTAATCTGGAAATATTTGCACATTTCTACATACTCGAGCTTTCACGTATCATTGAATTCACGTATTATTGCATGTAATTGGAATTTAATTAAAATTTTGACATAATTGAGAATACAAGATTTATTGTGTGTATGTGCATATCCATATTTACTACTTTTAAACATCAGTTTAAACTATATATTAATTACTTTTTATAATGCAATATATAAATACAATAATAATTTTAAAAAACTGATAGAAGAGCATTTTAAGGTCTACATCTCATCAATAAATTTCAAATTACAGCTCTTTTCTTGTAATCTTAATATTTAAAAAATTATTAATTAATAAAATTTGTGATTCTAAAGAGAAGACAGTTATCTGGAGTATTATAATTAAAAACTCATAGAATATTAAGGTAACAAAAAAATGCGACTAATTTACAAAATATTTTTCAACATAATTTTATTGATTGTGCGATTTTATTGATTGTGAGATCAATGCGATTGACATACAATTACGTATCAAAGGCTTTGCCCCAGGCTAAATCATTGGTGTCCCTTACGCAACTACTTACAGGTGACTTTCACTGGAAGATGATCCGGCCTCTGTGTGTGATTCATAAGGTGATACAGCTTTGGCCATTTGACTGGTAGATTCGCCATGAGCAATTAAGATATCCGGCTCAAATGCCATTACGTTTACCTTTAGTCTTGAACATATATTTTGTCTGCTTCAATTGATTCTTGATAACATTCAGATTCGCTAAAACTTTAGATGTAATTTTAAATATTTAGTTACCTGCAATATTATCTTCTTCGCGTAATAAAAAATTTATGGACTAAATATTAATAGAAAAATTAACATATTAAAAATATATAAATCAAAGATCGTCGATATAAAAATACCTAATTAAATTAAAATTTTATTATTTAATAATTTAACTAAAAATTTAATTATATATCTTTTATAATATACGATGTACACATTTTAAACATGCAATATGTAGTAGCAGTTTTGCAATAGAATAAAAAAGATTAAATAATTTATTATTATGATATTACAAAAGTTAAAATATATGTTTTATTAAATTTAATTGAACTGATAGCTTTAAAATTAAATTTTATATTTATTTTGTAAAAAATATTTACTTGGCTATAAAATATTACAATTATCAATATTTTAATTGTATCAATAATTTTTTTCTATTATAATGAAATAACTACAATTCCATTGTATTGTAATAATAGGATTGCAACAATTTCGTCAACGTTACGATAATAATAAAAATATTATTATCGTAACAATTAAAAGGAAATTATTATATAATTTTACATTATAGTTCTGCGGAATTCATATAATTATATGTATTAACTAAATCAAAATACCGTATAAGCAATTGATGTATCAATTTGATCTATCAACATTTTAAAGAAAAGGTTGAATAGTGACTTCTAATACGATAGTAAAGATCGCCTTGCACTCTTTGCATAATCAAGGATGAGAGTTGCAATCGTGTATAAGGTTAGTCTTCGATTTAAATGATAGGGCAGTCACTTTTTTGATATTCCTGGCGGATTCCCGGCGTCCCTGAACAGAATCCTGATTCTCTCCTTCTCTCTCTCTCTCTCTCTCTCTCTCTCTCTCTCTCTCTCTCTCTTCCCCACTTTTTCATTCTCTTACCCTTAGATAAAAAGTCATGATAGATAAATATGAAAGTAATTCATTAGAATGTCAAAGAAAGATACAATTAAATTAACTTTGTATAATCTTTTCAATTTATTTATTTTCCTGACACATCTCATCATAATTATAATACACATGGGATAATCAGTCCATTGACGTCATAATATTAAATATAGACTTTAAAGATTATAAATAATTAAATCACATTTTAAATAAATAAAACGTAACAAAGTAAACAATACATGTTAATAATAGCAGATATAATAATAGTACAATACAATAGTATCAAAAATTGTGTAAAATAAACGATCAATAAATTGTAACAGTAACATATAATTTAAGTAATTTAAATATTTTAATAATTATTAATTAAAAGTTATATAAATTACACAATAATACTAATTTGCTTTCATGATATTCTCGAATAATTAGCAATTAGATAATTAGCTAATTAATAATTATAAAAAAAATCGTAGCATTAATCTATCAAGTAAGTTTTTTTACCCTATCAATCAATTTAATTAACATAGATAAAGGGCAGTTTACTAATCTGGGACATTCTTTTCATATCACGTATATTAGTTGCGCACGCGAATAGTTTGATTTACAACGTTGCATAAATTAACATATTTTAACGTACAATCGATGACTCTACATTTTCTTCAAGAAAAAATTAAATTTGAACTAATTTTAACAAGATTAATAATTTATGATAA